TTGCGAATTTACTAAATTTGTTACTGTTTATGAAAAATTCGAAACTCAATGCCTAATGGCGGGTAATTTAATCATTTTTTTAGCTAAATTTATCATTTTTACTATATAAATCAGATATTTTAATTTTTTTAAATCTAAAAATATAAAACCCGGGCCAAGAAAAAATTTTTTGAAAAAAAAAATCCGGGCCCGACCATGCAAATGGTACCTCTGCAGGTCTCTGATATAAATATAATAATAGTTTTTTTTCCCCATTATCATAAATTAGATACAGAACTGAATAAATAAATATGTTTAGATCAGTTCTCTAAGTTTTAACAAACAGATTTTGAATTTTAGCATTATGCGCACTTTTTACATGATTATAAATATAGATGTATCTTATATATATATCGAAAAATTTGTATAAATATCTTTTTAACAACTATGGTCTGTTTATTAAATGAAATATAGTATATACGATTGAATAGATAATTGGTATCAATTTGTTGATTTAGATTTTTAATATATAATTCCCCTGACAGATGTTAAACCGTTAAATTTTACCCAATGCCTCATAATTTGCGACAATCTGTGCAAGCTCAAGCTATGCCACTTGGAAAAAATATCGAACGCCTGCGTGAATAATAAATCTCGCAAAATTAGATTAAACCTCTTCTTATTACCGTCGGATATAAATTTATGAATTAAAATTTATTATTTAATCGTGTTATATAGAAACCGATTTTTTTGGGGGGTAGTCAAATGTCATTATGCAATAATAATAATCGAAATTATATATTTTATCCATCCATCCATTATTATATATTATTTTTTTTACTTACCCTGCATTTACAATCAGCGCGAATTCGAGATGATATAAATAAAAATATACATTCATTTTTTGTATTACCTCACGAAATTCCCGCCATTTGTGAACCAATAGTTATGATGATCTTTATTTATTTTTTTTAAAATATAAAGAGGGGTATTTTGACTAACTAAGATATTATATTATATGAAATCAATTGTATTATATTAAAATAAAATTTATAGATTATAAATTTCAGAATTTATATCTTTATATATATATATATCTAAAGAAACAATTATTTTTTTTTAATAAAATATTATTATTTTTTTTAGCCCCGCGATTTATTTTAAAAATAAATATACCAAATGACATAATAAAGCCTAGACTGACGATGCATTCATAATAATGCATTTGAAACCGTCGTTGAATGCAAATCAGCTGTCCCGTCATCCATATAGAGTAATTCTTCTCATGTTAAAAACTACCTTCCTTATTTTCAGAATGATCAGGCTATTCTTTAATAAAGTTTGCCTCAGAATTAGGAATAAAATGGTGTCTCGTTTAAAATTTTTAATAATGAGATGGGTAATAAAAATGGCGTCCCCAGCTGTTTTTATTAAAGTACACTTTTAATGAATGCATCGTCAGTCTAGGTATTTATTATGTCATTTATATTTACATAATTTTTTTGGGTAAGGGACCTAAGTAATATTCATGATTTTCACTGTGAAAATAGCGGTTCATATTTTTTATTATACCAGCAAGGGATTTCACAAGGAAGAGAGGAAGGGCAGGATCTCAAAATTTGTAATTAAAAAAAAAAATTTTAGATGAAGAAATAGATCTGAAAGGTCCTGTACGAAACGGTTTTAATTCACTGTGCGAGGTTAATTTACAAAGCTTGCTAGTGTCGCTAAAACGTTTTTATATAAACACGAAGATCGGATCAACATAACACATCATCATTTTCCATTTTTTTAAATATCTATATTATTTTGAACATCTGAAGAAAAAAGATCTATTTCCTGTGCATCAAATGGCTAAAATATTAATTATACTTAAATCAAAAAATTTATTAGGAGGGAAAAAAAATTGTTATAACAATAACTATCAAAATAAGAGTAATAAGTTTAAGAATGAAATTCATTATAATTTTTTTTTCAACATACCATTCAGATGTCCCACAAGACCTTGATTTCTCTTATTAGAAAACAAAAGGTCCAGCAATTAAAAACGTAAATTCCTGGAGCTGCTTGCTAATATGGAACTAAAAAGTTTATATACAATAATAATCGAAGGGAATGATAAAAATTGGTGATCACCATTTCAAAATACAGAGGGATACCCCTCTTGTCTATTACTGTAGTGTTAGAATCCTTTAAACAAGAACATATCTACAGCATCCAATACCAAATTAAAATGGCTTAATTAAGAACCCAAAATGCATATACCAAATACACAAGACCTATTATCGAAAGCATCTTGCATTTTATTTATTAATAATAATACATTGTATAATTTTATTGCTCAAAATACTTTTTGGTTAATTTAATAAACATTTTGGACATAAAAAAAAGGATCTTAAGGAGGTATTATGATTTCTTAGCATAAATCCTAAAAAACCAATCATAAACAGCCATGAAATTGCCTTTTCAAGATTTTGAATATTTTTTTATTATTAACTGCTATATTTGACGTGTATGATTTGGCAAGCCCCGCTAGCTCTAAATTGACAAATCATCATTGAAATAATATATAGACATAATAAATACTCATAAAACTGAGTGTTTAAACTTTGCTATATTATTTAATTTACATATAAATGATTAAATATTTTAATAAAAATTCTGTATGTAAAAATCTTTTGAAAATTTTAACAAAATTTTTCTTAAATAAAATTTTTAATAATTAATTATTTCAAAAGATTTTTTGTCTATAGATGTAAACTAATAAAAACTATATTAGAATAAAATTTTAACCTTCTGGGTGTATTTAATTTTATATTGAGATTAAGTGGGCCAAGCCCCAGGGTTTACCCAACCCCAGTTTCTCCTACCTATTTATTTCATTTACATACTTCTGTAATGAGCATTGATAATTGCCATATACCATTAATAATTTCCGGAAAATAATTGACCGATATTCAAAATGTGTAAATCAAGTTCGGTTTATCTAATTATTAAACTTATCATCTGGATAAATTTAAGCAGAACGGATAGTTAGAAATATCGGTATAACTTGCAGGCTGGGATAAAAAAAAATTTGGGACGGTCAACTTATGCAAAAAACATATTTACGGACCGAAACTGATTTTTCAGCTTTTGTTCCATCACAAAAATTTATTGCGGTATAGCGGACTTTTACACGATTATTATATGGGAAAACCTGATTAGGATAGGAATTTTTCTCCTAAGGCGACTCTATTACTCAAATCTGGATATTATATACTATTTCTAAGGGTATTCAAGTCAACTCCGCGCTATTAAAGATCGAATTCATGTATGTTTCTCCTGAAAATCTATTTTGAAGATGTGATATCTTACATTTAAGCTTAACAATATTACGTGATATCTTACATTTAAGCTTAACAATATTACTAACAATCTCTCCTAGTTCCAGAGTATACATGTTTTGTTTGAACAGGGTCTCTAACAATAGGTGCGAGTCAAGAGGCCGTTATGGACTGGGGTCTAATATTACATTTTCTAGATAAAATTTCTTAATCTCAACTTTTTTTATTTTATTGCACAAAAAAAAATAGAATCAAATTTTATTTTCTCGAGTTAAATGTGTTAAGAGACATTAGAGAATATTTTATAACACCGTAATGAATGATAAAATTGAATTACGGAGAAAAACTTTTAATAGAAGATTTTGGCTAAAATGATTTGCATATCTTTATAACATTAAGTATACGATGATAATTAAGAATTGCAAAAAAAAATTCATAAAATTCATTCAAGATTTAAAACCCAAACTCATTAATTCCAAATTTTCTAAAAATTTTGCTCGCGCAAATGGTAAAATAAACAAAACCTTAAATTGACTTCCTTACTCTTAATAAAATTTTCTAAAAATAATTTAAAAAATAATATTACATTCATGTGAAAATGTCATTGCTTTTTTTTATTAAGCTTATATATAAAAATATTATCAAATATTTCCTCCAATATATCTTCGCATATCGAAACATTCGTTGGCAACTGTTCTTCCTCTTCTAACCCATTCATTAAAATTCTATCATAATAAAATGTGATTACAATTTTTTTTAAAAAAAATCAAATTCCTACTTTTATTAATTCATTAAAATAAAAACAAAATTTTAAATATTTATTTTCAACATTTTTTTTATAATGTAAACTTTGTCTACCCTTGAATTTCTTATAATAATTTTCTTTATAAATCGACACAGAAATATCACATAAGGCATTCGACCTTAACATAATTTTGGTAATTAATTTTTATTTTTTTCTTTCTTTCAAAATGTCAATATTGGAGGAAAATTATACATCTCAAATTTCTTCATTTAGAAATCTTGATTCCCAAAATTTGGTTTTCCTGGAGGACGTAAGATCAATTTATTTTAAAAACCCACCGGACCGAGTGGCAATTTTTTTTGGTAAATAATCGATACCCGGCCTCTGTAACTCGAAAATAGATATCGAAATATTTATTTTATTCTTTTACCGGTTGCGTAAATGGTGACGGTGGGAAGGGGGGTTAGCGCAGAAGGGTTCAATCCCCTCCCCCCGAAAACTATGGATAAGTCCATTCTTATTAGAATGAAAAAAAAAATTAAGAGTATTGCGAAGCGAATTTAAACAACTTTTCCAACTACTTTTTAGATCTTTTGGCTTTTTTCTTTTACAAGATTAAATTCAATAAATTTATACCAAACAAAACCCTATTTAAAAAATTTGAAATTTACATTTAAAAAAACTATTTTTTTTTTTTGCAAATTAGATTAGAATTACCAATTTTTCTTTTTGATAAATAAGCCGCCACCACCCCTCTTCCTCCCCTTCTTTCGACGTTGTTATCAATATTTTAGCCAGAAAAATATTGCCTGCTCAGGCATGCAAAATATTTTTCTGACATTGAGTTGGCCGTTTTTAAAAAATCGGCTCAAATCGAGCCATTTAACGACACTTACTTTTGACGCCATGATATGGATCTGGAAGACGAGTAAGTACGCTTTATAAAATGGTAAAATATAAATAAAGGTAAATTTCCTTTTTTTATTATTATTTGAAAAATGACACCTTAAATTTGTTTATAATTTTAATAATAATTATTTATTATAATTAAAAAAGAGGTTTTTTTTCAGAAATTTTTTTATAATTTAAAAAGGGAAATATAAAAATTATGACACTGCAAACATGAGGGGGGTTTTTTTTGTTTAATGGTTGAAAAAATAAAATTTGTAATATAGATTTTTTTAAAAAAAAAATAAAATGAAAATGGAATAAATATAAAAAAAAATTTAAAATATTAAGTTTATTAATTTATTATACGCGGGATTAGGAAGTGAAATATCTTACAATTTTTTTTTTACCGGAATTTTTTTTAAAATTAATAAATATTATTTTGTCGCTAAAAAAATAAATAATAAAATAAATATTTTAAAATGGGGGAAGAAAGAAATAATGACTTGAAATTCAATGAATTTAGGGATCGTTTTATCCGTTTATAAACATTATACAAAACTAAACTTAATCGAATAAAATTTTTTTTATTTTCGATCGGTATGAGTACGAATAGTTAATTATTCGATTCGCTCAAGAGAATCTAATACGAATAATGAATTATTCGTTTTCATAATCGTTTTTGATTGGCTAATAATTTACACAAATAAAAAAAACCGAATCGAATCGAATAAATAAAAAAAAAAGGTATGTTTTAGCGAACTAATAAAATAAAAAAAATAAATAAGCAGCTTAATTAAAATTTTATGACTTTCTTGGGTTACTTTTGACCAAATTATTCGGAGAAAATTTTTTTTAAAAAAATAATTATTTAACGCCCCCAAAATCTTTCATAAACATTTCCAGCTCTTCAATTTCCCTCCTCGAGGGAGGCGATCTATAATTTGTGTAAGCTCTGTTTTGCGTGGAAGGGTAGGAATCGTAGGATGAGGCCGAATTGGTGGTGTAATAATTTTCGTTGCGATCGTTATAACGATCGGTATGATGTCGCGAATCTATTTTTTTTTAAAAACAAAGATGGGGTTTATTTTTAAAAATTATCCGTATTTTGTCGCGAATCTAATTTTTTTTTTAAAAAAACAATATTTTTTTCCCAGGGTTCTGGATTCGGGTTTGGGAGTCAAAAATTTGAAATGGTTCTATGTCAGAAAATCGTGACCTGTTTACCATAAAGGGTCCAAACCCGTCCCAGTCCCTAAATACCCCGGTTTGAGTGAGGAAAAATGTTCAACAAAACAATTAAAAACTTTTTGAACCCCTAACAGGTCCAGAAACCTGCTTATTCCCCCATCTTTTCCTTTAGTTCAAAACTTTCCTCCTATTCAAAAAATTGATGAGATACCTATGAAATCAAAAATAATTTTTTGCAATGTGCTATTTCGGTCAAATAAATTTAAAAATAACTCGAACACATCTTTATGACCAAATTGTCTGAAATTTATTCTCTATATTCTACATTTACTTGTAATATAATTTTCGCAAAATTAAAATAATTAATTTAACGCGTTTAAATATATAATTTTACCAGAAATAAATTCATAAGCATGGTGAAAAAAAAAATACCTTACCTTGTAAAATCCAGATAATTTTGTAAAAGACATAAAACATATTGCTTTATTATAATGCACAAGAAAATTAATATCTGCAAACCCCCTAGATAAATATCGCAAACAGAAGAGAAGAAAATTGAAGTTAGGTATAAATTACCAAAATGTGGCTGACCTCCACCGCTACGATCGTATTTGTTAAATCCGTCCTGATTATATCGTTGATCCGATGCCGTGTTGTATCTAAATTCTTCTCTATGCTGCTGCTGACTTTGCAGTTGTTGATGGCTACGTTGTTGCTCTTGTTGTTGCTGCTGCTGTTGTGACTGGTGGGATTGAATGCGTTGTTGATTATTGTAAGACGAATGTCGTGTGGGTACCTGGTCGTCATCCTCGTAGGAAGTCGTTTTGCGATAATAAAGAGTGCGAGGCGCGTCTTGATTATGTACTGGTACAAATCTATCGTCTAAATGACTCGCCGCCGAGTGGGACCGTTGTTGAGTATTGAACTCTTGGCGTACCGGTATGATAGATGTTGCGGTTGCTGGGGGAAGTAATTCGGACTCATAAACGCGCCTTTTGTAACCATATTCCTCTTGGCCTCGCCCAAAGTCTTGCATTATCGGTAATGGGGGAGGGGCACTATGTTGTACTTGAACTACGCTAGTTCCCCCATCTGCCCCATCCGTTCTTACCTCCCTAGTACGTTTGTAGGTTTCGGTCACCAGTATATCTCCGTCCCCGCCATCGTAGCCATGGTGATGATGATGATGAGCTATATGTACGGGAGATGGAACTCTTGGCGGAATAACCAGCTCTTTATTTTGCCGTCGCGTGTCGTAGCGTCTAGAAGTGTATACGACTTCCCCGTCGGGGGCTAAGTGCCTAGCTGCTTCCCTAAATACTTCGGCGGCGGTTCCGCTGGGACGAACATCACCAGCGCTGTACTCATGACCTGTACCCGCGCGGCGGAAAATGGATGTCTCTAGGTTATTATTATATTTATTGTAATGATCTAGGTCGGCTGCAAAAGATTTGCTCCTGAGACGACCACCAGATGTGTCCCTAAAATTAAAAAAAAAAATAAGAGTAAAATATTTCACATATTGAGCTGTTTGAGTAAACTGTCATTTATAACATTTCTCATATAATCTAGAAACTACAATTTACTGCTAACTTAATGAAAGTGTTACCGTTCTTTTCATTGTTCAAATTTTTGCTATAATCATATTTGAAATATATCTAAAAAGAGAAGAAAAAGTGTTCCTCTTAAATTTTACTAATAATGTAGTAGTAGTAGTAATAAATAAACGTTTAAAGAAAGATATAATTATTTATTATAATTTTACTGTCATTCGAATTGTAATAAAATATCAATAATTTTAAACGAATAATTGATTTAAAAAGCCTATCATAATATATAAATGTGTTACCCTTCTCTAAAGGTATGGCAACGCGAATCGTTATCGTAAAAGTCTTCCTCGGAGGTGAGCGTATTGTAACCCTGGGACCGAGAAGTACTGTAATCGCTTAACCCACTCTCCCTCCAGCCATTGATAGGTCGGCCGGAAGTGCTTGTGGTCATCTTCCTGTAACCCCCTCCGGAACCGTCTTGCACTGTCTCTACGCGCTTTGTTTCGCTGAAATACTTGGCCTCCTTGAATGTGCTATTAGAACCGCCGTCCTCTCTCAGGGTGCTGATTTGAATGGGGTGGAGAGTGACGCCTCCCCCTCCTCGAGAACTGTCATCGGATTCGTGTCTAGTTTTGGACTCATATTCAACTTCTCTTCGCCGCTGAGTCTCTCTTTCTTGCGGTGGTTGTCTCGTAGGAGATCCCCTGATCCTGTAAACCCTACGAATTTCTGGGGTTCTCGAGTGCTGTTCCTGACTTGTATCATCGTCGACCCTTTCGGTAGTTTTCTCGGTTTTTTCCTGTTTCCAGGTATGTTGCTTAGTTTTGAGCTCTTCCACTAAACGGCGCGAGTCCCGTCCTTTATTCCCTCCTATATTTTTGTAGGTCGTAGAGGAGGTAAGGTAACCGCCGTTATGTCCGTTCGTTGAAGCGTCTTTGAGTTCTTGCAATTTTCGTTTTTGTTTATCTAACCAGTCCTCGCTAGATTCGCCCATTGAGCGGTTGTTAAGTTAAATGTCGCAAATTTTATTTTTTTTCGATATTGAGAAATTTAGAGGAAAATGAATTCGATTATAATCCGATATTGGATAGAATATTTAATAAGTCTCCTCTTTCCTTTACAATGATTTTTCTCTTGTTTTAAATCTTTAAAGAAGAAGAAGAAAAATATGTATAAATATTGATTTTAAAATTATAATTCAAAATACAAAAAAAAATTTGAATTTTTTTATTATCATAAAAAAATTGTTAAGGTTCCAAGTTTTAAATATAAATTTAAAAAAAGTACAATTAAATACAGAATAAGTTTGAAAACAATCGCAAAAAATTTTACAATTTTTTTAGGTGCCAATTTATAAAAAAATATTTGAAATCACGAAAACATAATTGCGTGTTTATTATTTTTTGTAAAATGTTAATTATTGATAAGAGCGGATAAAAGTTAGATACAAAAATCCAAAATTTTGGCGATTTAAAACAGTTTTAGGAAAGAGCTCAATCTAACCCCGTCCTCATTCCGACCCCTTCCCAAAAAAAAATAATTAAAAGTGGAAGGTGTCAAAATATAGGGCTAAAACAATATTAGTATTTTAGTAATACGGAAAATTTGAATCGAATGAGAATAAGTGAGAAAAATTATCCGTTGAAAGATAAATAGCCTCTTCGTTACTTTCTATCCAATTACGAAATTAATAATTTTATTCAAGATTAATAACAGGTTTATTATTGGAACTTTTTAGTTTTTGTTTTTTAAGCTTATTTTCCAAATAATCCATTGTTTTATTTTAAAGTTTTTTATTATTAGGACGAATAAAAGAATTATTCGATTCTGAAAATCAAATCAAATATGATAAACATAACATTATATAATTATAAAATAGAATTATAAATTGAGAAATTTATGTATTTATTATAAAAAAGTTCTAACCACTCAAGTAACCAAGTTTTAAATGAAAATTTCGTGTATTTATTTGCAGAATAAAAAGGTTCTAACTACTGAGTAAGTAACCAAGTTTTAAATTAGACCCCCCCCCCCACCTCCTTAGTTAGCCATTTTTTAAAAAATGTTTAATATAATATAAATGATTTTTTGGCCTAAGCAAGCATCTCTCTCTCATTATTTACTTTATTTTTTGAAAAAATATTTTTATCTTCTTTTTCAATATATAGTTTTAGTTGCTTATTGATAATATTCAAAATTGAAAAAAAAAACTATTAAATAAAATTAACGGCCTTGAGAGAGCCTTTCGTTCATCTTTTTATCAAAATATTATATATAACAAAAACAAAAAAAAAATTTGGTGTATATTTTAAAAAAATAGTTGGTAAATAAAATCAATATAACATTCATTAATTTAAATTAGAGACCATTTGCAGCGCGGACCCCCAGCTAACTTAATATTTTAGACAGAAAAATATTGCAATAAGCCTCGAGATTTTCGATAATGTATGTCTTAGACCTTTGTTAATGATCAAAATATTCAGGCATGCGTAATATTATTCTGGATGAAATATTGAGTTAGCGGTTTTTAAAAATCGGCTCAAAACGAGCCGTTTAACAACACTACGTAAGGAAGATTAATATTTTTTTTCAGAAATATTCCCCGATGACCAAATATTTATTTATTTTATATGTTTATTATAAGAATCTAAAATGAAGTAAATTCGTAATTTACGAATCCTGGACGCTCGGAAAAAACGAGCCGATTCAACCCGAAATAAAAATTAATCACAATTCTCGGACCCGGTTTCGGATTTGCAGATCTCTAGTTGATAATCATCTTTTAAACTTTATTCTTTTTTTTTCCTCCTTTCCTTTCCATCTCATTCGTTACGGAGATTAAAAACTGGTGAAATAACTTTATTCAAAAATTCCAATATTTGATAATGATAGCTTAAGGAAGAAGTATGGGGGAGTAATTCTTAAATATTCCCAAATTGAAAATATATGAGAAATGCCCATTTTAGCAATTTTTTTCCCAGTTATTCATTATTTTTTGCGTTTCGCATTGTCGATCGAGAACTCACGCCGTTCCCTTTCTTTGACTTTCCTTCCGCCATTCCTTACTTCTTCCTTGAAAGTAAGATTTTGCGATATTATCAAAAAATAACACTGAGATTAAAAATCGTTTTTGGTTTTTTTAAGTTTAAAAAAATCGATATTATAAAAAAAAAAATAAGGCTTAACAAAAAGGTTAAAATTAAAATAATATAAAACTTTGTGAGGGATGTATTATTTCTTCCTTCCCTTTTGCCAATAAAATAATAATAATGAACTTTCTTTACGAAAATGTAAAACATGAATTCACAAGTGAATAATAAATAGTGTTGTTAAATTTTACCATTTCAAATATGGCTTAGTAAAGATTTTAGCCTAAAAAATTGAAATAAGCATCTAAGTTGAGTCTCTACTTGAAGATTGATAGGAATATTTTTGGTTAAAAACATGTCTGACGCTGTTTTATAGTTGACTAAAGTTAGGTAGTTTAACAACACTAGTAAATAAAATAATTTTTCGGTTTAAACTCTAATTAATTTCTAACAAAAAAAAATTGGATTAATGAATTTATTAATAATTTTAAAGGAACCTACGGACAAAAAAAACCCACCCAATTTAAGAAATTTGTTTAGATGTTTAAAAAAATGGAAATAATTTATAAAATGTTGACTTTTTAAGCAGAATTTAAATTTATTTTTCATAAAAAATTGGGGTATATGAGACCGGTGTCTTTTGGTTCGGAGTACATTTGTCCAAGTCTTTTTTGATCACCATTTCTGTCCATGATTCATTTTTTGGAACTAGATTTGAGCTTAAATGGCGCGAATAAAAAAATTTTTCTTTGATAGTTTCCCAAAAACTATCACAAATAATTATAGTTGGGTTAATTATTACATTTTTAGCCGTTTAAGCCAATTTTTGGCCAGCCAAACCGAGTTTTAATCAAGAATTATCACTTTGGTGTCAGGTATTTTTTAAATAAAATAGTAGCTCAGTTTTGAAGGAAACTCCGGCCCGTACCCGTAAATTGAGCAGAATTATCTATTACCTGACTATAATAATAAGTCGAGAATTACCTCAAGCCCGATCGGGATTTAATAAAAATGGGTGATATAATGTTGGTTTGGCGTTGTATTTATAGCACGAGATACAGAGATGTTTGATAATAATAAAATAATTGACCCAAGCCTGAGGGTTTTTATTTCGAACCCGTTCTTCAAAAAAATTGATTTTCAACATTCTGAAGCTTCTCCAGGCTCTGTAAGAACTCTGAACATGTATGTATTTTAGGCCCTTTAGCCCCGAGTATTCTATTTTTCACAGAGACCTATAGGCTCTGACTAGAACCCGGCCGGAAATGGGATCAATCTCCAAGCCGGGCCAGTAAAAAAATTTTTTCCAATCCAGGCCGAACCTAAGATTTCGACCTCTGCAGGTTAATGTTTTTTAGGTCTAAACCCAGCCCAAAAATTTGTAATTGAAAAATGTTAAAATTACTAATGGCTTTTGTTCTAATTTCCGAATTTTTTTAATCTTCGTTTATAATGTGCACAAATTGAGCATTTCAAAAGCTGCGTTGCAAGCGCAAATAATGCATTTTAAATGGCCTCGTGCAAATTGGTAAAATTATCGTTTGGCGTTAGCAACCATTTTTTAAAAAAGCAAATAGGTTTGCTTTTTCATTATTTTTTTTATTCTTCACTTTGTAATATTATATAAAATGTAATATAAATAACTTACTTAATATCCTAAAAAGAAATATTTAGAAATTAAAGAAATAAGAAGGCAGACGATAATATAATTTTCAAAGAAAAATCCTTTTTTAGAACTTATCTAAAATTTTGAATCGACGATATTAAAAAAAAAGGCAACCTCCATTTAAACAAGGGATGCGGTTACGTTTTTGTATTAAAAAATTACGGCAAAACGTAAACGGTGCACTATTAAGGTAGGAGGGTGGAGGGGGTGTTTAAAGATTATGTCTATCCTTATTTAATTTTAAAAAAATTGGTCCTGCAACGAAGTTCTGTTCTATCTGATTACCAAAAAGATCATTTTGATTTTAAGACGACTTGGATTAATGTTTTTAGCCAACCTAGAGATGCTAACAGGTTGCCAGAAATGTTTGAACTTCTAAAATCTCGAGGCTTCCAATAATATTTTTTTGGCTTAAGCCTTAATCGGTATGTTTTTAAAACATTAATACACTTATTATTTAAAAAAAAATAACCTCCATATCAAAATATACTAAAAAAATAATTTGATATTATAAAATCAAACCAAAATTGATCATAAAATAATTTGAACAAAAAATATTTTCTTTTCAAAATAAAGATATCTTTTTATAATCTAATATGTAATAATATCCTTGACAAAAAAAAACACAATTAAAGCCAATATTTTTTTTAGTGTTTTTATATCAAACAATTTAAACGAAAAATATTCGTCATTTGCGAAATAATCACGTATTTTCCTCCCCTATTATTAATGACAGAAAAAAATAAATTAAAAATATATAAAATTTGCAGGTCTTGATTTGTGTTTTTTTAAAAAATATAAACAATTTGATATTATAATGAGATGAGAATATAGAATTTAGGTTTAAATTGTGAATGCAATACAATTTATTTAGTATAATATCGTCGGTTGAGTATTTAAGTGTTCTATCTCCACCTTTTTATTTGATAATAAATCTCTCCTTTTCTAAAATACAATAAATATATTTCTTGTATAAAAAGGCTATCTCCTAAAAATTTATATTAAAAAAAAATGGATATAGAACAATATAATACTCAGCGAAGCTATAACGATAATTATAAATTGTAAATTTGATAACAAGCGTTTTTTTACACATATGCTGAACTCGATGGGGACCAGAAAGTTGGATTCACTTAATAATATGTCTTTAAGGTCAAAAATCGCTTTCCATTTTTTTGACAAATTTCATATGGAAACATTATGAAACAAGCCAGCAGAGGTTAAAAAATTGGGCCGGGCTTGTGACTAATATATTTCAAGTACTGACCCTTAAGAGTTACGGCTCCAAAAATATTTTCCCATGGCCACAAAACGAGGGAATGTGAAATTCCCAGGGATCTAATAAGGAGGAGGGAGTCAAAGAGACGGGATTTATAATTAGTATTGTTTA